CTTGGATGTCAATGTGAATGATGAAATTGTTCAAACCTCATGTGAATGTGGATTTGAGTGAAATTGTCTAAGTTTCACTTGGATGTGGATGTGAATGAAGTTTGAGAAATTCCACCTGGATGTGGATGTGAATGAAATTGTCCAAACTCAACTTGAATGTGGATGTGGATGAAATTTGTCAAATTCCACCTAGATGTGGATGCGAATGAAATTGTTCAAACCTCATGTGAATGTGAATTTGAGTGAAATTGTCTAAGTTTCACTTGGATGTCAATGTGAATGAAATTCATCAAATTCCACTTAGATGTGGATGTGGATGTGAATGAAATTTGTCAAATTCCACTTGGATGTGGATGTGGATGTGGATATGAATGAAATTTATCAAATTCCACTTGGATGTGGATGTGGATGTGGATGTGGATGAAATTTGTCAAATTCCACCTAGATGTGAATGCGAATGAAATTGTCCAAGCTCAAGTTAAATGGGAATATGAATAAAATAGCCCAAATTCCGCTTGAATATCGATGTGAATGAAATTCTCCAAATTCCACGTGGATGTAAATACAAATAAAATTCTCCAAATGCTAACTTGACCTAAATTTAAACTTCTCCTCCCCCCAAACATGCAAACATTTTCCAATTTTCTTCAAACTACAAAAGCCTGCCCCCAATAACTACGCCCAACGAAATGAAATAGCGTAACGTTTTATAGGTCGATTAAACGAGACCGTTACGAAAGAAGTCTGAAACGAAGACAAACTCGATTGTCTCCACCTACGACGTAGCCTTTCTTTACACACAACGGTCGTCTTCGAGGATTCCTAGAAACGGTCGGTAAATCGCGTCGCCCTCCTTTCGATTAACGAGTAACTCGATTTATATCGGCCGTTTCACCTAGCCTCTGTCCCCTAATCGGAATTCTAGCGCACCACTAAACGCGTATAATTTATTGTCCACATATAGTCTCGTCTGTTCGACGCCTCGTTAAACTCGCCCTACGGTTTCCAATCCGCTTTTATTTTCTGTCTTGTTCGGGAAAAATATTGGCTCGTTATCTTTCAGATTTGACCAATAGCTTTATTTTGCTGGGATAATGAAAATTTTAATTCGAGGGAAGGCGACGTGTTCCGCCATTTTTATCTATAATGTGCAGCTGTATATTTAATTATTTTAGTCTTTTATTAGGTTATGAAGCTTATGTTAGGTAATGAAGGTTAAACTTTCAGTTTAAAGTTAAGCTTTAATAGGAAGATGGATAGTTTAAATACTTCATGTAGCGAAGCAACTGTATTAAAAAATTGCTAACTGCTTCTAAACTTAACTAATCAAAATGGCGGAACAGTAGCTCATCAAATAACTATCTTCAGAAATAATTTCCCTCATTTTCTATCCTACCTGTAATTAAACTTTGTATTTGTACTGCAAACTACTAAATACTCTTGCTGTTTCACTACTAAATAATAAAATTTTAACAAATAACCTGTAAACATGTATCTTTCAAACTAACCTAAAATAGTAAATTTCCCGCCAAATGGCTCATAAACGTCGACTCTCCATTTTAATGCTGGTCGTTTCATACTAAATAGCTTAATATGAAGTGGACGATGTTTACGCATTAATTTATGTATTTATGTAATTCGATGTGGGACACCGTGGGTGCATCACGCCACGCATGAGTAACAGAAAGGATCAACAATGGTGTCCTTATCTGTCCTCATGGGTCATTTCTGTGTCACAATACTATGCATTGTTACGAGCCACCGTGAATCGCGCTATCGTGTTTGTCGTAAAGTGGCGAGGGTCAAAGGTGAATTCGCAAATGGGTCATGGTATCGTCTTAACGGACTTGGCTGCATCTTAATTTTACCTACGCGTTTCTACGATTATCGTATTTCGTTGGTAAGGGTGTTGCGGTTTATGAAAACTGTGGGTAAATAAATTTGGTGGAATTTGTCAGCTTCTCAAGTTCTCAGTTCTTCAAATTCTCAGCTCTGCAAATTATCAGCTCTTCACATTCTCAGCTCTTCAAATTCTCAGCTCCCCGAATTCTCAGCGCCCCAAATTCTCAACTCTCCAAATTTCTTAACTCTCCAAATTCTCAGTTCTCCAAATTCTGAGCTCTCCAAATTCTGAGCTCCCCGAATTCTCAGCGCCCCAAATTCTCAAATTCTTGAACTCTCAGCTCCCCAAATTCTCAACTCACCAAATTCTCAACTCCCCAGCTCCAAATTCCCCAAAATCCCAAAATTTCTAAACTCCCAATTTCCTAAATTCACCTCGCCACTACAGCACGCGTTAAGTCGCCATATATTGCATGGCCACGTGTTGAGAACTCTCCAAATTCTCAGCTCTCCAAATTCTGAGCTCCCCGAATTCTCAGCGCCCCAAATTCTCAAATTCTTGAACTCTCAGCTCCCCAAATTCTCAACTCACCAAATTCTCAACTCCCCAGCTCCAAATTCCCCAAAATCCCAAAATTTCTAAACTCCCAATTTCCTAAATTCACCTCGCCACTACAGCACGCGTTAAGTCGCCATATATTGCATGGCCACGTGTTCTTAACTCTCCAAATTCTCAGCGCCCCAAATTCTGAGCTCCTCGAATTCTCAGCGCCCCAAATTCTCAACTCCCCAAATTCTCAGCTCACCAAATTCTCAACTCTCCCAATTTCTCAACTCTTCAAATTCTCAGCTCACCAAATTCTCAGCTCCCCAAATTCTGAGCTCCCCGAATTCTCAGCGCCCCAAATTCTCAACTTCTTGAACTCTCAGCTCCCCAAATTCTCAACTCACCAAATTGTCCAAATTCTCAGCTCACCAAATTCTCAACTCTCCCAATTTCACAGCTCCCCAAATTCTCAGCTGCCCAAATTCTCAGCTCTCCAAATTCTCAACTCTCCCAATTTCTCAGCTCCCAAATTCTGAGCTCCCCGAATTCTCAGCTCACCAAATTCTCAAATTCTTGAACTCTCAGCTCCCCAAATTCTCAACTCACCAAATTCTCAACTCCCCAGCTCCAAATTCCCCAAAATCCCAAAATTTCTAAACTCCCAATTTCCTAAATTCACCTCGCCACTACAGCACGCGTTAAGTCGCCATATATTGCATGGCCACGTGTTGATCTCGTGCAACACGTTAAATCTCCAACTATCGTCTCGCCCCAATAAATCGATACATAATTCCACAGCAATAATCGCTCAATGTACATCAAAGATCTCAATCGAACGAATAAAAATAGTAACGTTAACATGTCCCCTATGACACACACGATCACGTACGCTGACGATGTACGGCCATGTTTGACTACTCATTAAATATACTGTCACGTGTGGTTAGATCATAATGACACGCGTTTCTGTTCAACGCACGATGCACGCTGTCAAAAATATTTGTTCGTGTAATCGTGACGGGACTGACAACGAACTTCATTGATTCGTTCGATCCGTACAGCTATTCAATCGAACAATTTCCGTCTGTTAAACGAGTTTTATTAAGCGGTGAATATTAATCGAGAATCAATTCACCGATTCGTGACTCACCGATCGAGTTTACGTTTACGGTTTATTACGGCGAACAATGGAACGTTTTCGTGGAGAACCAGTCGAATGCGTCCAATAGCCGGTCAATGTTAGCCGATAGAACCATTCAGCGAATTTTTTATTCCATCTTTCGCTGGCCGATTGAGATCATTAATTGGCTGGGATGTTGAGACGAAGTGCTTTACGGGGGAAAACAGGGCTTCTCAACTTTTGGTGAAACGTGTTTTAATCCGTGCTTTTTTGTTGGAGATTCAATATTAATCGTAGTAAATTCATGATTCAGTTAGTTCATAAATTTAACTGATGTTCGTGTATTAAGGGGGGAAATACCTTTAGAATCTTAAAAAATTACATTTTTTTTTCTGTAGAATGTTAGTGTAATATCTTAAAAATAATTTCTGAAAATTTTCAAGTGAAATACGAAGCCCTTTTGAAGTTATGGCCGATTAGCGCCGCGGGCATACATAACCTTTTTATCATAATTTTAATTTTGTCAAAAATGGCTACTCTTGATCCACTCATATGATGCAAATACTGAATGCATTGGGTCATTATCAACTAATAATATCATTGTTTTCCCAGTACATAGTATTTATAGAATGAAGTATCTGAAGTGCTGTTAATACAAGCTTGACTCATTGAGGGTGCATAATTGTGTTATCAAATGTTGCGATTGCACGGCTATCGTGCAACAATTAATGTTATCTTCATTCACCTATACATGCAGTATGTACTACAATGTTAATCAGACAATTTTCTACAGAAAATAATATTAATCATTGCCAACAATTTTGTAATATTTTACAAAAATATTTTTGTAACCTGTCAAAACTTTAAATTAGCTAAATAATTGGTGATTTTGGTTTGTCACATGTGAACCGTAACGTATGTCACTACTCTGACTCCATGTTAGGCCAAGGGGTTAATCTTGAAGTTCATTCTGTAAAAATTTGAAGAACTTCTGTAATGTAAAAATTTGGAGAACTTCTGTAATATAAAAATTTGAAGAATTCCTATAATATAAAAATTTGAAGAAGTTATATAATATAAAAATGAGCAGAATTTCAAAATTTGAAAATATAATTTAACAATTAACCACGTTAATGTATAACCTAACTTAACCCTATATTTGCAGGCACGTCAGCATGATATGATATCAGCGGCCGAAGGAACCAGCCCCTGAAACATGAAGAATCGTTGCGTGCTCGCGTTGTCGTTGCTCCTGCCGGTGGTATTAGGCCTAGCCCTGCAGGAGGACGACCTGGTGTTCGACGACGTCGGCGAAGAGAACAGCAGTCCCGCGACAGTGATCAGCCGGCGTTACGAAGAGCTTCGAACCAGCTGGCACGAGCAGAAACGACCGCACGAGTCGAAGAGACTCCAGGTCGAGAGGTTATGGGGCGTTCCCGACGTCGTCGTGCCCGTTGGCCACGTTCTCAAGCTCAGAATCCCGAGGCAAGCGTTCACAGGACCCTTGGATTATTACGAGGTGAGAGACACCGGCATTTTTGTCCTCTTATTTTCCCACTTTTGCTCACCAATTTCGACTGCTTGGCCACCGGCCAACGATCTGCTTGTGGATTTATTATACCTTCTTGGTCCTACGGGAATTTTATATTGAGGTATATCTGGACGCATTGGGACATCGAGAATTGTGATGTTATTCTTGCCACGTTTATTTGCAAATTCTCATAATTGTCGTTTAGGTAAAAAATTTCTTTTGGGAAATTTCTTTTTTTGTTGGTGAGTTTCTGTTCCTTACGGAGGGCTGTATAGGGTGTGTCACAACTAGTGGAAGAAAGGAACGTGCAGGTCCTTTGACGCAGATCACAGTTCGTGGCCTCAAAGGGCACATTACTACCCGTGGGATTACTACGCGTTGGAATACTAAGCGCTATATTACCACGCGTTGGAATACTAAGCGCTATATTACCACGCGTAGAATTATTACGCGTTGAATTACCACGCATGGAATTGCCACGCGTGGAATTATTACGCGATGAATTACCACGCATGGAATTACTACGCGTTGAATCACCACGCGTGGAATTATTACGCGTTGAATAACCACGCATGGAATTATTACGCGTTGAATCACCACGCGTGGAATTATTACGCGTTGAATAACCACGCATGGAATTATTACGCGTTGAATCACCACGCGTGGAATTATTACGCGTTGAATAACCACGCATGGAATTATTACGCGTTGAATCACCACGCGTGGAAATACCACGCGTGGAATTACCACGCGTGGAATTATTACGCGTTGAATAACCACGCATGGAATTACCACGCGTGGAATTATTACGCGTTGAATTACTACGCATAGAATTACTACGCGTTGAATCACCACGCGTGGAATTATTACGCGTTGAATAACTACGCATAGAATTACTACGCGTTGAATCACCACGCGTGGAATTATTACGCGTTGAATTACCACGCATGGAATTACTACGCATTGAATTACCACGCATGGAATTACTACGCATTGAATCACCACGCGTAGAATTATTACGCGTTGAATTACCACGCATGGAATTGCCACGCGTTGAATTACTACGCGTTGGATTATTACGCGCTATATTACCACCCGTGGAATTACCACGCGTTGGATTACTACGCGCTCCTTTTCCTTAATAATTCCAAAACGGAGCTCCAGACCGAAATTTTGCAAAGGGAAAAGTTGTTCAGAATCTCGCACCCCACCAATTCTGAGAGTTGCACTAGTTATGAGACACCCTGTATATCTAGCAAGACTTTATTTACTTGCAAAACGTATGAGCATCTATGATCGAAATGTCGTTTATTTGTAGACATTAAACTTGAAGCCTATTCAGTTCGAAGACTTTGCTACAGATAAAGCAAAACTTCTTTAGATTACGTAAAATCTGTAACTTATCTGAGTGAACTCATTTTTTAACTTCTGCAGACATGCATCGTTTTAATGCTCGTCGCTGTTTTAATCTTCGTTCTTCTTCTTTGAATTTAATATTAATCCATGTTGTGCTCTATATAAAATGTTAGTTCTTTGAATTTAATATTAATTCATATTGTGCTTTACATCCAATGTTATTTTAATTTAATATTGATTCCTTAACGTTGAGTATGGACCCAGGTATATTTTACGACAGGAAGCGTAAAATGCCGAATTGTTCCGAGGGTTCACATTATTGTGATTTACAGCCATGCTTTATTTTCTCGTGAAGAGTCCAATAGCAGTATTGTTTTCACAAATCGGAAGCACATGTGGCCAGCAGATTCTCTTCCAAGAAACATCGTTCGAGTCTTTTAGCTTGCAGTTTTATGAGCGTGACCCTGCTATGTTTAACGAAGCAAAAAGCCTCTTCATAAATCATCGTAGACTATCCCAATATTAAACTTCCCACATGTGCATCAATTTATAGAAACATCGGAACACTGATTAATTTCGAGAATTATTTGAGGAGTGCATAGGTTCTTAGACAACTTCAGAGTTTTCTTACAAATGTTCTTAGACAACTTCAGATTTTTCTTACAAACCTTAGATATCCTCAGACTTTTCTTACAAAGTCCCATGAAGAATCTATCCAGAATTAAACTAATACTATGTACTCGGAATGTACACAGTTGAAACCCCGATTTGTACAACGAACTTTCGATGAAAATACCACCGTGATTCGTCCGAGAAATAAAAAAAAAAACAGTGGCACCATCGACGAAAATAAAGATTACATCTGGCGCATTTCTTTGTTCAGCGAGATCTGGGTTTTCCGATTTTAGAAACGCGCGAAAGCGAAAATCATGAAAGCGAAAATCTGCCTCGTTGAAGGCGATAAAAATCCCGCGAGCTAAAAGCGTTCGTTGAAACTTCAAAGCTTTAAAAAATATGTTTCATAGGCTGGAACATGGATACGTTTCTGCGTGGTGGCTGCAATTTCCGGTTATGTAATTGTATTTGACATTCCAGGCCGCGCTCGCGATAGCGTATCGTTTTTGGCGCGATATAAATAATCGGTATGCTCCGTTTTCGTTTCTAGAATCGTAATACGTTGGGTGACACTCGCGTTAGTCATCTGGCATTTACGTTTATATTTTGTTCTTCAACCCCTTGTCCTACTATAACTCGTGACGCATGTTCTACAAACAGAAATCATATTTGAAGAATTTCTGAATTGAACATATACTTCGTATTTTAATTTTGCTTAATTGTTTTGATGTTCTTAAGACAAGCTAGCTTAGCTAGTTTTAAATGACGCACCTGACGAAGTTGTAGGTCAAAGAGTTAACCCTTTGCACTCCTGTGTCGAGGGTAGCTGGACATCACATTTTTCTTGGATCTTATAAATGATTCAGATAAATAGATTGATTGATTTGTATATTTTCATTTAATTACTATTTATAATAAATGAAAAATGTATTTGTGACATACTCCACACTGTTACAATACAATTCACTGAGAACCCCTTTTTGATGTATTTTGTGAATAAAGGAGTTGTTGGGTAACAGAAATTAAGGAGTGTAAAGGGTTAATAGAGAAGATCGTGACGATGAATAAGTCACAATTCGATCTGAATATATTCTGAACAGTTTGTGAATGAACTATATTTTATAGAAATATATGTGGAAATATATGGACAAATATAGAATAAATATTGTGACCAAGCGAGTAAATAAAACCGAAGTAAGTGACTCACTTTGATCTTCAGATACCCTGCATGCACCCTGCCTCAGAATCCCATTATTATAATTAATTAGAATTATATTAATTAGAATTAATTAGAATCCCATTATTAGAAATATTCAATAACCCCTTCTATGTATAGCTCTCCCAAAAAATCAGCTGCTCTAAGAAACACAGAAAAATGATTCAAACTAAAGAAACTCACCCTGCTGACAAATCAACCCTTAACAAACCTATGATGCACCTAAAATAAAATATTTGATAACTCCTTCTAAGCATAGCTCTCCCAAAAAATCAGCTGCTCTAAGAAACATAGAAAAATGATTCAAACTAAAGAAACTCACCCTGCTAATAAATCAACCCTTATCCAAATAACAAACCTATGATGAACCTAAAATGAAATATTTGATAACTCCTTCTAAGCATAGCTCTACCAAAAAATCAGCTGCTCTAAGAAACATAGAAAAATGATTCAAACTAAAGAAACTCATCTTGCTAATAACTCAACCCTTATCCAAATAACAAACCTATGATGAACCTAAAATAAAATATTTGATAACTCCTTCTAAGCATAGCTCTCCCAAAAAATCAGCTGCTCTAAGAAACATAGAAAAATGATTCAAACTAAAGAAACTCACCCTGCTAATAAATCAACCCTTATCCAAATAACAAACCTATGATGAACCTAAAATAAAATATTCGATAACTCCTACTAAGCATAGCTTTCTCAAAAAATCAGCTGCTCTACGAAACATAGAAAAATGATTCAAACTAAAGAAACTCACCCTGCTGACAAATCAACCCCTATCCAAATAACAAACCTATGATGAACCTAAAATAAAATATTTGATAACTCCTTCTAAGCATAGATCTCCCAAAAAATCAGCTGCTCTACAAAACATAGAAAAATGATTCAAACTAAAGAAACTCACCCTGCTAATAAATCAACCCTTATCCAAATAACAAACCTATGATGAACCTAATAAACCTAACCTAATAAACTTACCCTAATAAACCTACCCTAACAAACCTACCTTAATAAACCTAACCCACTAAACCTAGCCTAATAAACCTATCCAAAGCCTAGCAATAAGCCCAAGAAGAATGTAATTAAACTACAAGTAGAATGTTGACATTGAAATGTTTGAAACCAACAGGTGTTCGACGCGAATGGAAACGAGCTGCCACGATGGTTGTACTGGGACGACGCAGCGTCGACGTTGATGGGTATCCCATCGAAAAAGGATGTGGGTAGCCATCACTTGAGCGTGAAGGCGATCGGAAAACACGGTGACACAGCCAAGGATCTGTTCGTGGTGCAAGTGGTACCCGAGAAGCACGAGGAATTGAAGCACAGAGATGGAAAGGTGAGGCTCCTTATATACCTGGCTACCGCTGCCTTATCGTTAACTACGGAAACAGTCTGTTGGCACTCGTTCAACGCTTTCCTGAACAACAGGTATCGGAGTCCCTTTTCACCGTCGTGCGGATTTATTGGGACCTGTTGACCAATTTGGGATTGTCGAAATTCTTTATTGCGAGGCTTTTGTTTGCGGGGAGTTATGTTTGATGCGAAAGTTTTTTGGGGTGGAGAGGAAGGGATTTTTTTGGGGTGGAGAGATGAGAGGAAGGGATTTTTTGGAGGTGGAGAGATGAGAGGAAGGGATTTTTTTGGGGTGGAGAAATGAGAGGAAGGGATTTTTTTGGGGTGGAGAGATGAGGGGAGGGGATTTTTTGGGGGTGGAGAAATGAGAGGAAGGGATTTTTTTGGGGTGGAGAGATGAGGTGACCAGATTTTGGTACATTGAAAAATATTTAGAAATGTGGAAATATGGGAAGAACATCTGAGAAACGTGGAGAAGAAAATTTCAGTAGGTCTTGAGAGATTTTAAATCTTCAAAGTGTATTTAAATCTTCAAATTTCTAACGAGTCAAATTTCTACAATTCTCACATACTTAAATTGATCCAAACATCCCTGATGACGTGGATGGAATTACAAATTCCCACATTCCCCAATTTTAGCTCTCTAAACCTCTTAAACATTTCCCTCCAAATTCCCTGTGAATCTGCAAATTCTCCAATTTCCACTTCCTCAGACACTCCAAATCTCCAAAGCTAATTATTCATCCCTAATCCCTAATTTCCCAGATCTCCATTTGACCCTCCCTTAAAAATAAAATAAACGCGTAAATATTCGAGGTTGTTTAATTAATGGTATTTAAAGAGTAGAAAGAGCGATGTCAAGAGCGACGTGACCGATCAACCTGTCGTTAACCGCAGCAGGAGATAAACGACATAATTCCGCGAGGCGATTTAACGAGCACGGTACCGAGCTCCAATTAATTATCAGACTTCCGAAAATCGGCTGGATTCGATTAAAATGATCAACGCCGTTGTTTCGCGCGTAAAAGTCGAAACCTGGTTCACGATTAACGAATTCATTGATTTACTGGTTCATTAACAGCTACGGTGAATTCGGCGACGAACAATTTAACTGTGACTAATCTGACCGGATCATCGGGGTGCAAAATCGTTGCTGGCTTAATTGAATGCTTGCATATTTTGCAGGAAGAAAATTCTGGGCTTATTGGTTGCGGACCAAATTATATTACAGCTTATTTATATTGCAATTTAAATAGAAAGATGTGAAGGATTCATTTTAAAGGTGAAGCTTTAAAGAATGTGACCATAACGCACTTCATTGAAAAAAAGGAATTTGTTTAAATTTTTCGACATTTCATAACAAATTGATGGAGTTGAAAAAAATATTTTAAAATAGCCCAATCCTTTGTGAATAAAACAAGAAAGAATTTAGCCAAATCGATTGAGTAGTTTCCGAGAAAAAAATTCGTAAGTGAAGCCTGTTTATAAATTAATACAGGGTGTGTCACAACTAGTGTTCTTCTTCTGACTGGTTTTCCTTAAAATTTTTCGTTATTATAAAACAGATGATCGAAGCCACAAAAAATATTTTATTACAGTCCAATCCTCCGTGAATAAAACAAAAAAGAATTTAGTCAAATCGGTTGAGTAGTTTCCGAAAAAAAAATTCGTAAGTGAATCCAATTTTCGCAAAAATGGGTAAAAATTGCAAACTGTGAAAACTTGTTATTTCTTAACAAAAATTCGAAACCAATAAAATGATGACTTAAACCCCCCATAATTTCACATAGACTACCACATATTTTGATTAAAGCAGCATCGCACTTGCTGTAACGTTCAAAAGTGATTTCTAAATGACCCATAAATAATATTGTAAAAAGGGAAAATCAAGAGACTCAAATCAAATACTTAGAAGTGACGTTCTATTCGGACCTGAACGCGTGTTTAAATCTCGTAAAGAAATTAATTTGCTAGACACCGTTGATTGATGCCAATTGATAGCCACCGTGCGTCATCCAGTCCTTAATTCGCGTTTCACACACTGACACTGTCCCGGCAAACGATTGAAATAGAACGCTTCTTTGATTTTCAGACGCACTGCAACGAAGGGGAAGAACAAACCTTGTTGACGATATTGCTGGACACCAGGTTCGACAACCTTTCGCCATCCATGCGGGTCAATACCATCGACAATCTTGCTGGCTTTCTAGGACTTCATTTGGTACGATATCAAACATTCCTATGACCTTTTCTTTTTTAACAAACAAGACACCTTTATTTGAACATACTTTTTTTCGTCAGGTCCACAATCAACCACTTTAAAATCATATCTGAAAAATGTATTTTATAAAATCATTTTTTAAAAATGTATTTTATAAAACCAGTTTTTAAAAATGTATTTTATAAAACCATTTTTTAAAAATGTATTTTTTTAAATCATTTTTAAAAATGTATTTTATAAAATCATTTTTTAAAAATGTATTTTATAAAATAATTTTTAAAAATGTATTTTGTAAAATCATTTTTAAAAATGTATTTTGTAAAATCATTTTTTAAAAATCATATTCTTTTTGAATTGGTCTAAAGTATATGTACATGTGTATGTGAACGATGCAACAGCCATTGCTTTTTTATTTTGATTTCAAGAAGAGAATTTATTACATTCATTTAGTGCATATGTTCATAAATAATCTAACAGTCATTGCTTTTTTGTTTTCATTTCAAGAAGAGAATTTATTATATTCATTTAGTATATATGTTCATAAATAATCTAATAGCCATTGCATTTTTATTTTGATTTTAACAAGAAGATTAATAATATTCATTTAATACATAAGTTCATAAATAATCCAACAGCCATTGCTTTTTTGTATTCATTTCAAGAAGAAAATTTATTATATTCATTTAATACATACGTTCATAAATAATCTAACAGCCACTGCATTTTTATTTTAATTCATTAAAAAAATCACAGGATCTAAGTTCAAGAAAAAATCTCAAAGACTAATTGAATTATACTAATATTTGAATTAGTGCAATTTTACATTATGAAGACTGCAATTGTTTTTTTTATTTGAGTTGGTCAAAAAGAGAAGTTATGTTCATTTAGTAAATGCGTTCATAGACAATGAAATAGCCATTGTTTTTTTTATTTGAGTTGGTCAAAAAGAGAGGTTATGTTCATTTAGTACAAGCGTTCATAGACAATCAAATAGCCATTGTTTTTTTTATTTTGATTTCAACAAGAGAATTAATTATATTCATTTAGTATACATGTCCATTCACAATAGCTACTGCATTTTTATTTTGATTCAGTAAAGGAATTAGAAGAAAAAGACTAATTGAATTATCCTTGCTTAGTCCTCCACATTCAGCATCCCCTTATTTGAGTTAGTCAAAAAGAGAGGTTATGTTCATTTAGTACAAGCGTTCATAGACAATCAAATAGCCATTGTTTTTTTTATTTGAGTTAGTCAGAAAGAGAAGTTATGTTCATTTAGTACATGCGTTCATAGACAATCAAATAGCCATTGTTTTTTTTATTTTGATTTCAACAAGAGAATTAATTATATTCATTTAGTATACATGTCCATTCACAATAGCTACTGCATTTTTATTTTGATTCAGTAAAGGAATTAGAAGAAAAAGACTAATTGAATTATCCTTGCTTAGTCCTCCACATTCAGCATCCCCTTTAGAGGAACCTTCTCTAAAGAGTTAACTTGCAAATTTCGTCTTGAAAGCACAGAAAAAGACAAATTAGGTAAAATCAGTGGGTAAGATAAGAGCGCGTACGGTCCTCGTTCGCGTCAACAAGTGAAATAATGAACGTCGCCGAGAATAACGTGTTGCATGGCCCGTGGCGCTACGATTAAATTAATTAAGACTTCTCCGGTGGAAACAAAATAAAAACACAATCTCAAAGGCGTCCAATTTATGCTCGGTACGTAGGGGAGCTTTGCAGGATACTTTTAAAGTTGAAAATTTTCTGTATTATGTCGAGCTGCCGCGATGTATCTTCCATTCCGTGCCAACGGTTCTAACTTACCTTGCAAGGACCTCTTATTTCGCAAACTTTATCAAATATTCTGCACCGAGTCAGCTTTCGCCCGGAATTAGGACACGATCCTTCATAATTTCTTCTATTCTCGATTAAACTTCTCGACTGTTCAAAATAACCTGCTTCGTTTCTGATTTATCACCAAATGGTTTCCACAATATTTTTAGAAAATACCGGAGTTCATTGTGTACTTTTGTTTTCCATTCAAGAGTGTTTCTGGCGTCGATTGTTAATTGAAGATGGCGAACGACATTGTATGCAAATAAAAATATTTTCGTGGGTATTCGTCCGAAAATATTGAGTTGGAAGCAAATTGTACCGTTGGCTCGTTTCGTCGGAATAGTCGATTCGATTACGCAAATTTAATCTCTTCGATCGAGGTGATTTAATTACGAACGCAATCGCGGGGAATCATCCGAAATAAAAAGTCCGCTTTCCGCGTTATTAAAGCGAGAGCCGATATTTCCCGAACTTTTTATAAGTTTTACTTTCGTTTCAGAGCTCCTTCTCCATGCACCCGCAGAACCTTAAGGACAACATGGACTCCTCCGTGGTCCTCAGTGGACCTGGAAACGTGAAACACCGTAAAGAGAAACACTTAACCGCGATTCAGTGGCAGGTGAGATTTCCTAGTCAGATGGTTGTAATTACAGTAGAATCTCCTTCTTGCGTAATACAATCATTTTTTTACGCTTCTCTTAATCAAACTAAATGTTAGGATGAAACTGAAAGTTTTAACCGAACTAAAATTACAATTAAACCAATCTAGAAATTAAACCAAACTAGAAATTAAACCAAACAAAAATTACAATTAAACCAAACTAGAAATTAAACCAAACTAAAATTACAATTAAACCAAACTAAAATTAAAATTAAACCAAACTAGAATTAAAATTAAACTGAACTAGAATTAAAATTAAACTGAACTAAAATAAAAATTAAACTAAACTGTAATAAAAATTAAACCAAACTAAAATTAAAATTAAACCAAACTAAAATAACAATTATACCAAACTATAATAAAAATTAAACCAAATTAAAAATAAAATTAAACCAAATTAAAATTAAAATTGAACCAAACTAAAATTAAAATTAAACCAAACTAAAATAAAAATTAAACTAAACTATAATGAAAATTGAACAAAACTAAAATTAAAATTAAACCAAACTAAAATAAAAATTAAACTAAAATTAAAATTAAACCAAACTAAAATTAAAATTAAACCAAACTAAAATTCTAATTAAACCAAACTATAATAAAAACTAAACCAAATTAAAATTAAAATTGAACCTAACTAAAATTAAAATTAAACCAAACTAAAATAAAAATTAAACTAAAATTAAAATTAAACCAAACTAAAATAAAAATTAAACCAAACTAAAATTAAAATTAAACCAAATTAAAATTAAAATTGAACCAAATTAAAATTCCAATTAAACCAAACTAAAATAAAAATTAAATTAAACCATAATAAAAATTAAAGTAAACTAAAATTAAAATTGAACCAAACTAAAATAAAAATTAAATTAAACTAAACTTAAAATTAAACAAAAGTTTTTAAATGCATATATATGACAAAACAAATTCTGAATAGGTCGGCTGCGACGGTCGCCTGTGGAAGCATCAGACGGACTTGGTAAACAGGCTACGGGAGCAGGCGAAAGATGGCACCCTGGCGGAAGTGATGCAGCTTCCGGTCTTACTGTGGCGCGTGAAGACCGAATCGAGCTATTTATTGAGAAACCGAAGGGAGACTGGGTCAGGAAACTACGAGGGCAATCCGGACGATTACAGTAATTACGACGATGATTACGACGACGACTACGATGACGGCGAAGGAAACGACGAGGATGGTGAAGACTCACCGGTGCAGCCGACCATTGTACCGGAAACGAGCGTTCCCAGAGGAAGCCTTGGTCCGGAACATCCCCATAGACATCACCATGGGGAAGAGACCATCGATTGGAACGTAAGCTTCGAATGATTTTCGTATCACCGTGATCGAAATGATTCTAGTAAATTTAAATGTTTTGCAGACGGACCAGATCGACGAGGATATTATTCCGATCGAGAATCAGCCGAACGTTGCGGAGAACAAGAGCGCCACCGACACGTCTCCAGCTGTAAGTATCGTGAAGCCGCGTCGATGGTTTCCTGAAACAAGAGCAAAAAGAGAAAACGAGAGAAAAAGAGAGAACGTGCTATATAACCGGCTTTCGTTGAAGATTCTTATTTCTGTCTTCGCCACGCCAATCGCTTGAGGGAATCGTTGCGCTTCAGATACTTTGTTAGTCTAGCTATGGGTATTTGCGTGTTCGATAATGCCGACTTAACGCCATTTTCGTGCCGCTTAGGCGGCCAAACGATCGATGTATAGAAGCTACTGTGCGAACTTTAGTCTTAAAATGAAAACGAAAGTCCGATTCTGTTCTAACCGTTTGCGTACACACAGTCTTCTTCGCCTACCTTCGTAACGTAACTAACAATGTTTCTCGTGCCCGTACATCGCATCTTACTAACGATTTCGCAGACAACAACCACTGAACTTACATCACCACCACCATCATCAACAACATCAACAACAACCACCTCCACCGCGACGACTAGCTCGACAACATCAACAACTACAACAGCAACAACAGCACCGACAACAACATCAACAACAATCCAACAACCACCGTCAACGGCCACTAGTACAACTACTAGCACAACAACGACAGCCACAACAGCAGATACAACGACGGCTAGCCTCCTACCGAGCACCATTGTCCCGTCGACCGAGACGTCGTCCGAGAGGCCGGAGATCACCGAGGAACCGACCAAGAACACCAGATACACGGACAACGAATCTCTAAACGTCTCATCCGTCATTACAATACCAGAATTCATCACCGTCCCTCCTTCGGTAATCGTTCCTAATTCTAGCACCACTGGAACTACGTCGAGCACCGTCGTCGACAGAACGGAAACGGACGTCACCGGTGGTACTGTTAATGTCTCCACGGCAGAGGTAATGCTTCGATGCTTCGAGCTTCTCTCATTTGTATGATAGTCCATGCTGCGCACACGGTCGATTCACGTTAGTCTCTCTCGCTTTATAGTCCGCAAATGATAGGTCGTTGTGTTCAGTCAAAGCTGCGCCTTCTTGCAACGACGCGTGCCTCCAGAATCGTGCGTACCTTGTGTCTCGTCCTGTCTCATGCTTTTCTCCTTACTTACATACGCTGCACGCTACGATATATCGCTTTTAACGTTATGGTTACTGTGTGGAATAGGCATACTTGCACTAGGCGAATAGAAGTCGAACTCCGTTCGGGCAAGGAATACGAGTGTTGCCAAACGTTCTGGGACCTCTTCTTTATAATTCTTCGTAAAAATGGAAAACTTGCGAGTTCACAACTTTTATACTTGAATAGAAATTCAGGATCCTCGAGGATCCTCAAGAGTCATAATTATGTAAAGAGACCGAGTGATCAAGCTCGGAGTATGAAAAGATTTCAATGCAGCGTTCTTGTACATTAGAGATGCAATTCGCACGATTCTTGATGCATTTTGCGATCGCCGTGATCTCGTTCTTTGTTCATCGACAATGAGACCACATATAATACACCATAACCTTCGATGTTTATTAAAGTACGTCCTTTCTGCCTTCAGCCAACGGAACAGACAGTGACCTCGTCGAAACAACCCACCATTCTAGTATCTTCCACGACACCTGTGAACACGACAGATTCCATGACCGTCATATTCGTTCCGAATGTCACTACAACACCCTCTACTACAACGACACAAATGAGAACGTCACCAACTACCACGTCCACAACAACCACTACCACTACGACTACCATGGCTCCGACAACACCCACTACTATGCCCACTACCACTTCGACAACTACTACCACTACCACTACTACAACCACCGAATCGCCCAAAGTTACGGAGAACGTGGAGTACGGCGTTCACAACTTCCCACCTACGCGTGATAGGAGGCTGAAGAAGATACCGGTGACCGCTGGTAAATTGTTGAGCTACGTGATACCACCGAACACGTTCAGCGACCCAGAAGACGGAGATACGAGAAACTTGAGGCTGAGCTTGTACTTGCAGGGTTCACCTCTGAAGACCACCCACTGGCTTCAATTCAATCAGCGCACGCAAGAAGTTTATGGATTGTAAGCATCAAGTTATTCAATGTGGTTATGGAGTGTTACATGTAACATCCAGCATTACAAATTACATCTCTCGACCGTAGACTGTGTCTACATGAAACTTCTTAGTACAAGTTTCCGATTCAACGTCATCTAATCGTTCAGTTCTATGTATACCTTTGTACCTAACATGTACCTGTTTCGCAGACCGTTGGAGAATGATATATCCACCTGGATGTACGAGCTGGTGGCTGTAGATAGCGACGGACAGAACGTAACGGATCAACTGGACATTCACGTGCAGCAACACAAACTTAGTCGCAGCGTTAATCACGAGTTCAGTATCTACCTGAGGATCGAAGACCGTTCCGAGTTTCCAACGGAAGTTGACTGGCAGCTAAAGGTACCAATGTAGATTACTTCGCAGTGAAACTTATGCTTATGTATATATCATATTGTAGGTAATTCGAGGAATAGCCGAATTATATGGAGATAGCGACTCCAGACATATTACTGTTCGATCGATCGACATTGACCACGATCAAGCGATCTTCACTTGGACCAACGACAGTTTACCTAGAAGCAGCGAGTGTCCCAAGGAATACATCAATGATCTATTGCACGTACGTAATCGCTGACTAATCATTATTCTAGACACAATTTCACTTCGATGATCTAATCGTTGGTGTATGATTCATCAGGTGTTGATTGATAGAAACGGTGATCCCAGCCCTGGGTTGAGGGAAGTACTCAAACCCGAAATCAGAGTGAAACGAGTAATTTATCAGGGTATTGGACAGTGCGAGGACATGATACGACCAGAAGCACCAAGAGTTTCCACTCAAGAGCCTAAATCAAACTTCCCGCCATTGCCAAGGAATCAGGTGGATCTAGTCAATGCCACCGTTGGCATGTTGCTCGTATTTAAAGTGCCGGAGGTAAGTGTTTCGAGTAAGAATTTCTATAGCAATGATTTATAACGTGACGATCTGTAAATTCAACGCGTCGAATTTTTCACGTGTCGAATACACCACGCATCGAATATACCACGCGTCGAATATACCACGCGTCGAATTTACCACGCGTCGAATTTCCCACGCGTCGAATACACCACGCGTCGAATACACCACGCGTTGAATTTCCAACGCGTCGAATTTACCATGCGTCGAATTTCCCACGCGTCGAATACACCACGCGTCGAATACACCACGCGTCGAATTTCCTACGCGTCGAATTCCTCACGCGTCGAATTTACCACGCGCCGAATTCACCACGCGTCGAATTTCCCATGCGTCGAATACACCACGCGTCGAATTCCTCACGCGTCGAATTTACCACGCGTCAAATCGTTGAATTTACCACGCGTTGTATTCGTCACGCGTTCAATTCACTACGCGTCGAATTTACCACGCGTTGAATTTATTACGCGTTGAATTTACCACGCGTTGTATTCGTCACGCGTTCAATTCACTACGCGTCGAATTTACCACGCGTTGAATTTATTACGCGTTGAATTTACCACGCGTTGTATTCGTCACGCGTTCAATTCACCACGCGTCGAATTTATCACGCGTTGAATTTATCACGCGTGAATTTACCACGCGTTGTATTCCTCACGTGTTGAATTCACCACGCGCCGAATTTACCACGCGCCGAATACATCACTCGTCGAATCTTCAGGACACCTTCTACGACGCTGAAGATGGCTCCGCTCGCAACATGCAAATGAATCTATTGACCATCGAACGCAAGCCTATTCCACCGCACGAGTGGTTACAGTTCGATAGCAAGAATCAAGAATTTTATGGTGTACCAATGCGCAGCGATGTCGGACGCAAGGAGTATCAATTAGTCGTTACCGATAAAGAAGGTAACGCTTTACGATCAGATATTCGTAATCCATTAAAATTAAGTCCTTATTCTTAATGAAGTCTATTGCAGGTGCAAGTGCTACCGATGGCCTAGTCGTTGTCGTGCATCCTGCTCCATTGATGCATCACACAGTAGAGTTCTCGATGACTCTAGATATACCTTACGAATCGTTCGCTCATTCCGCTCTTCAGAAGCGCAATTTCATCGAAAAATTGCGGGATCTGTACAAAGATAGAGACACTAACGCGATCTCGTTGCACAGTATATCAAACGGTAGCACAGTGGTCACTTGGCACAACAGAACCTTGCCTACCTCATATTGCGCGCGCGAAGAAGTGAACAGATTGCAATCGGTGCTAGTGAAGAGCGACAACGCTCGTCGATCCGTCACGGACGAGGTCCTAGAAGCGATGGGTTCGAAATTCCCCGTGAAACAGATCATGGTGATCCCGATGGGAATATGTCTGAGTGAATTGCCCGGTGTTCACTCGCCAGACAGCTACGTTCCACCGGTGGACGATACCACTCCTGTCGGAACGTTCCACGATGATTACCTCATCACGTTCGTCCTGCCAGCTATAATAATCGCCGTGATGCTGATTTTGGCGGGTATCATCGCTTGCGTACTGTACAGACGAAGACGCAGCGGGAAGATGAGCGTCAGCGAGCAGGACGATGAGAGACAGAGTTTCCGCAGTAAAGGAATACCGGTTATATTCCAGGACGAGCTGGATGAGAAACCGGATCCAGGTTAGAACGTATTTGAATATATTTGACAACATACATAAACTTTAATAATAATAGGCACAAGGCTATAGACACAAAGATGGTGTTACGTTCAGATACACGTGTTTTGTTTTATAGGTAACAAGTCACCTGTAATTCTAAAAGAAGAAAAACCACCGCTACCACCGCCCGAGTATCAAAAGACGGAGGACGGCGCGGACGTGCCGATGTTGCCAAAAGAGAACTCCGAGGAACCGTACCAACCACCGCCTCCGTTCGCCACGAATCGCGACACCAATCGTCAGAATCGTCCCAAACCCACCCCAACGTACAGAAAACCACCCCCATACGTACCTCCCTAACAAAATACAGTCCACTCGCCCACGCGCAAATATATGCTAGCGATGCTCGGAGACTCCCCAATACACGCGCAAAACCAAACCAACTATCAGAAGAAGCCACAGTTCGTCGGTAACAACGTCGACAACTGTGGTGGATCTCTGAACGTATACAGCAATCTTAAGTAAGGCTTTCGTTGGTCCGAGATTCAATATCAGGTAATAACAGATGAAAGAATCGGTTCGCGAGAGTTCGCCAAATCGCGCCCACGTTTACTTACTTTGTAATAATATACATATTATTATACTCATTCGTCGCTATTTATCCGCGGTGTAACGTATTTAAGAGAGAAAGGAGAGTACGCGAGGGCGTTTGCCCTTGTGTTTTTTTTCTTTTTTTACTGCGATGTACGCGAGAGTGCAATTTAGGCTTCCTTCAGTTGGGAGGGAAGATCTGTCGGAAGAGGAACTTGGACTTTCAATCCCTTAGATTCTTTACGAGCTTAGATCTCTCTAGGCACAATTTATGCTCTCTCTTCTCATACTATCCTTCGATAGTACATGTGTCTCACCACAGTATGGTTGGTAGAGACTTAGGCTCTACCTGACGTTCCATATACTGCATCTAGACTCTCCCTATAATCCCACACACGAACTATACTCTGCTTAAGTTCATGCTGCCTGGTGTCCCAACTTTCCGCCTAACTCGAGAGGGGTCTGCGTTGCACCCGTGTACTTTTACCGACCGTCTTGTATTTCACGGGAACTTTTTCTAGGGAGTGTACGGGATTACAAATCACGCGTTGCCTTTCGTAACGAATTCAAACTGTAGAGAGGAAGGATTCACTTACTCCGACCGGGTATAAGCGGATATTTTAGGTTTTAGGTTTATGAAACCGTAGAACCAGCGTCGTTAGGGCGAGATGTTTGTATTCGGCGATAACGAAGTCGCGTGTGCAGCAACGATACTCGTTCACGTTTCAGTAATCAGTGCCATTTTTTAAGCAATAAGAGTATCAATGCTGTGAACGGGAAGTGGAGAGAAAAAAACGCGTACTATTTAAATGGTTCTACTGAAAGACTTGAAACGCGGTGAAACGGTCTCCAAGTATCCAAGGACTATCGACTTAAACATACAACGTACCTACTTACATCGTATAACACTGCCACGTGAAGGATAACTGTGAAGAACTCGTCGTCGGACGAGGCAGTTTCTTTTGTTCGCCGATTACTCAATCATTTTTTTATACATTGTCTTATAAAAACGAAGGAAAGAATGGAACTCGAACTGGCCCCATCCGACGATCAGTTGTCAGACTTAAACGTTAAATGAAAAAAGAAACTAAGAGAACTGAGAATTTTTTTAATCCGTAACTTAATCGAATATATCCGTTCGCGCGATGCCATTTGCAGAGTGACAGCAAAATGCTTCCATTGGCGCTGTAGGCCATGCAGAATAAAAGGATAACTAATGATAATATATACAAATATATAATATAAATATGTATATTACCTATTTGTCGTTCGATAGACAGTCTGATGCAGCCATTTTAAGTCGATGTCGTTTTAAAACGCCGCCAGACCCACGTCGTAGCATTTACCTTTTTCGTTTCTTTATTATTATTTCTCATGATATGCACACTGTACAGAAAGCTTTCTGTTTATCTTTAATCCACATTTTTTTTAAGTACGTACAATTATTCTCATTTTTATAACGTACGACCACTTAAGATTTTTGTACTCGTTACACGGTGAGAAAAACATGCGAGCCTTACGTATCTTAACGATTTTAAACCCGTCGAGAGCTAATTTAATTTAGATTTTACATAGTTACCAAGCCAAAAAGTACTAACTATTTAAAGCAGAGGGGAAAATGGAAATGGATAAAGGAACAAAGTAACAAGATCTACTTTTAACCTATAGAGCGCGATGACCGTACCCGGTGCGCAGAGCGTACGTTTTATGAAAGAAAATTGATTCGGAAAAAATCAGCCACTCTGTTGCAAGATTGCAAGGAAGAAAAAGAAGTAACGAATGATTTGTAGACGGGATACGGGTAAACACGCGCAAATAAGATTTCTTCGACACCTCGATGATTTCCTGATATTTTTTAAAAGAGGAAAACACGAGGACGTGGAAGAACGGAAAGAAACGAAGAAAATCGATATCTTTTTCGCGTACCTCGAATTTGATGGCTCCGTTTATCCGCCTCTACGAAGCAAAGGATACAGTGTTAACGAATCCGCAAATTTGGGGTCACTCCTAAACAAATCACGTGTGAATGATACTGCTGATAATGATGATAATTGTGTATGTAGAATGATAAACGGATGTTTCGTATGCAAGCTAAAAATTACGATATAATATATATTACTATTAATTCACGTCTTTATAACGTACAAGGTTTAAGTATATTAACACACGCGACTACTCGAATCCCTTTTTCATCGAGCCTTGCTTATCGCGGATCTCGCACGAGACAAAAATTGCTTTTGAAAATACCTGACTGCTGGTTAGCGTTAATCGCACGATATTACGAAAGTTACGGGAGTATTTTCTATTTTTGTATCACGATTTTTGGCGTTGTTCGCTGTTCAAGGAAATTGAATGAGGGAAGTTTCGACTCCTCAGGCTTTTACCAGACAAATTTATTAGGCTAGACTATTGACAAATCAAAGTACAGTGGAGTCTTATATTGCCATTTTATATGGACAGCTTTCATCGTCGTAAGGAGATTCATGGAGAACATCAATACTTTGCTGATTGAAGAATGTAATCGTAGATTTTGCGATTGGATACATTACTGTGTTATATCGCTGTGCTGAGTATAGTGCGCGTCGAATTACTGCGTTTAGAATTTACCACGCGTTAAGTATACCACGCGTCGAATTTACCACGCGTTGAATATACCACGCGTCGAATTACTGCGCATCGAATTACCACGCATCGAGTACACCACGCGTCGAATTTACCACGCATCGAATTTACCACGCGTCGAATTTCCCACGCGCCGAATACATCACGCGTCGAATCCACTACGCGCCGAATTTGCCACGCGTCGAATACACCACGCGTCGAAATCCTCACGCGTCGAATTTACCACGCGTCGAGTATACCACGCGTCGAATTTATCACGCATCGAATTACCACGCATCGAGAACACCACGCGTCGAATACACCATGCGTCGAATTTCCCACGCGTCGAAATCCTCACGCGTCGAATACACCACGCGTCGAATTCCTCACGCGTTGAATTTACCACGCGTCGAATTTACCACGCGTCGAATACACCACGCGTAGAATTTACCACGCGTCGAATCCACCACGCGCCGAATTTACCACGTGTCGAATATACCACGCGTCGAAATCCTCACGCGTCGAAATCCTCACGCGTCGAATTCCTCACGCGTCGAATTTACCACGCGTCGAATCCACCACGCGCCGAATTTACTACGTGTCGAATACACCACGCGCCGAATTTACCACGCGTCGAATACACCACGCGTCGAATGACCACTCCTCGAATCTACCAAGCGTCGAATCACCATTTCTAACACACCACGCGACAAATCACACCGCGCTGAATTACCACCAGTGATATTAGACCAAATCCGACCAATTCCTACCGTGGCAATATAACCAATCTACTGTACATAGCGCCCCATTTATTCGAACTCATCAAATGGCAAATAATCAAATTGAACGTTGAAATAATCGAAATGTAAGCTATTTCCCAGGTGAGTTTCTCCAATCTCCCACTATCGTACAATCGTAAACTTCTGCCGGGGGTTTTAAAAATAGATGTAATTAATTTCACTCGAATAAATGGAGTTCTATGGCTGAAGGTCTGTTTCGAAGCCCTCGATGAGCCGCGGTAAGCAAGGACACCTTTCATATCATGCTTCTAATCATATCATCGCTCTCGTCCGCTGCAATTGTGTTAATGTGACGGACACGATAATTATGTACGATAGTTATAAGATGTATACACTCTACGTGGTAAAGTGTGAGGGGGGTCGAATTCGAACCAAGGATACTCGCTTTTCTTTTCTTATTTTCTTTCTTTTTGTTTAAATGGTTGAAAGTGGTTCGAAAGTATTTTGTACAAAGGAGAACGGTAGAGGTGGGAGAAAGGAACAAACTATCAAAAGTAAAGAGTGTATGTAATCGTGTAGGTTCGATTGATCCCCAAAAGAAGTAAAAAAAGTTCCATCGCGTGTAAGGAATTTCTTGTACACATAAAGAAAATGGTATATACATATTAAGAATAACACGTATTGACTGGGAATCTGCAAATTATTTTTGTCCAATATGGCGCCTCGACGGGACCGGACCAAAGGACCTCGTCGTTTTTTCTTTTTAGAAACTTAACCTTTAGAAGACGGGTGACTTTTATATTTTCAAACTAAAATCCTGTATTAAATAAAAAATAAATCTTTCAAACCCGTCTGGCACGGTGAGAACACTTAAAATTATAAATTTCTTTTGACAATTTTAAATTAAATAATTAAACCTTTTAAAAACCTTTTCGACTGGAAATTAAAGCTTCAAAATGGCTTCCCGTCATCCGAAGGTTAATCCACCCCTTTTTTGTTCAAGAGAGGAGATTGTCACGTTAGCTAACCATCCTTTTTGAGTGGTGTCGTCGACGAACGAAGGAACATTGAATAAGGACACACATACACACAGACATGTACACAGATGTGTTTGAGGAGTACTACATATTAAACACGTGTAAAGTTAAGAGTTAATAAAGCCATTTTAGGATAACAAGCGTCAGTTCTTGTGCCACGTTATCGAACTCGTTATCGTTTCCTGGCTAAATGGAACTACACTTATTCCGGTATAATTTCACTAATTAATGGTTTGGAATAATGTTTGAAAATATTTTTAGAAGTTTCATTACTGTAATGGGTCAGGTTATCAAATATGTCTGGGAGTTCCTTTAAGCTTGGAAATTTGGGAGTTTTAATATTTCATTTACAAATTAATAAATATAAAAGAGGGATCGTTTAAAAATTTATTATATAGAAAATTTTCAGTCTTGCGTTATGAAAAAAATATTTTTTAAATATTGCTTTCTGGAGCGCCATTTGCATTTTCGTCCGCCATTTGCATTTTCGTCCGTCATTTGCATTTGCAAATTTAAATTTGATGTTCAGAAATGTGAGAGTTTGAGAGTTTTAATTTTTAGAAATTAATAAATATAGAAATTCGATGATTTAGAAATTTATATAGAAACTTTTCACCCTCGAGTTATGAAATAATTATTTTTTGTCTAATATTGCCCCCAGAGCGCCATTTGCATTTTCGTCCGCCATTTGCAGCGTCCTTGTGAAGACAATTGTCCACTACTTTGAGCAAGGTTAATTTTTCAAGGATCCTTCCACTTCCTCTTGTGAATCATTATCCTTTCTACAATACAGTGATCCTTGTGTTCATGTTCCACTTTCAGTGACCTAGTATCCATTAAAAATTAAATGTACCAACACCGTATAATGTATAACAAAATTTATATGGAAAAAAATCATGACAAATTGGAAAAGTAAAAAACTGAAATGTTATATACATGAATAAAACATGAGCAGTGATTACTTTAATTGCAACAGGAAAAATTGCAACGTATTATTTGAGTAAAAACATTTTCTGACAAGATATATGAACTTCCACTAATCTTATCAGTATTATATTTTTAAAAAGTTCAAATAATCGCTAAAAGTAGAATTCAGTAATTCACGAATTCTTTTTTTCTCAAGTCCTTTGAACCTGCTATTGATTCGCGTCACGTTAATTTTAAAATCGCATTAACATGAAGAGGCCGTAATGTGAAAACGTTCATCGATTTTTCCCGCGCGTTACATAATCGTACTATAAAAGTTCGTCGAAAAAAGCAAACAGTTTTCTAATACGGCGACAGAGACTTTTTTTTCGTGAATTTCGTCCGAGGCATCGATTACACAATCCTTGTTTAGCGTGACGTAAAATGTTCCGACGTTTTTCCACGTTTTATTACCATTCGTTAACACTGACGCTCATTCTGGAATAATGCTAATAACGCTCCGCCAAATGTGTAAGTGTCGCGAAATTTATTTATCGTTGAGGTAATCGCTTGAGAATACACAAGGACGTATCGTTTCAATGTCGAACAGACGAAGCCACCGTAGGATCTCTTTGTCAGTTCCAATCTAATTAATCCTCGTTAAGTCGTTGTCAATTGTTTACGTAAACGAGAGTACGTAGACGCAAACATTCGGTCACGATACGCCCACGTGAAGCTTCTTTGCTGCTGTGGAAAAGGTGAAAAATTTGTTTGGTAAACAAGGTTAGACCTATAGGTATGGTAAGATATGGTTTTAGTATTGGTATTTTGTATATGGAGAAAAAATGACGCTCGTGTTATATTGCCACTTTTTGTAAGAGAGGCAATTTAAGACTACATTCTCAGAAGAGGTTAGCTATCTATAGTTTTTGTAGTATTGGGCTATTTTGGTGTTCATCTGAAGAATGACGCTCGTGTTATATTGCCACTTTTAGCAGCAGAGTAGAATTTCTAGTAGAACTCCGGAATTTCTAAAATTCTGAATTTCCAAATCATCAAATTTCTAAAGTGCCAAATTTCTAAATCCCCAAACTTCTAAATCTACAAAATTGTCAGCGCCCCAAAGTCCCAGATCTCCAAATTACCAAGACCCCAAATCGTCAGCCCCCCAAATTTCCAAATTCCCAAATTTTTAATCCCCCAAATTCTCAGCACCCCAAATTTTCAGCGCTTCAAATTCTCAGCGCTCCAAATTCTCAGCGCTTCAAATTCTCAGCGCCCCAAATTCTCAGCGCTTTTAATCCCCCAAATTCTCAGCACCCCAAATTTTCAGCGCTCCGAATTCTCAGCGCTCCAAATTCTCAGCGCCGCAAATTCTCAGCGCTCCAAATTCTCAGCGCTCCAAATTCTCAGCGCCCCAAATTCTCAGCGCTCCAAATTCTCAGCGCTCCAAATTCTCAGCGCTCCAAATTCTCAGCGCTCCAAATTCTCAGCGCTCCAAATTCTCAGCGCTCCAAATTCTCAGCGCTCCAAATTCTCAGCGCTCCAAATTCTCAGCGCTCCAAATTCTCAGCGCTCCAAATTCTCAGCGCTCCAAATTCTCAGCGCTCCAAATTCTCAGCGCTCCAAATTCTCAGCGCTCCAAATTCTCAGCGCTCCAAATTCTCAGCGCTCCAAATTCTCAGCGCTCCAAATTCTCAGCGCTCCAAATTCTCAGCGCTCCAAATTCTCAGCGCCCCAAATTCTCAGCGCTTCAAATTCTCAGCGCCCCAAATTCTCAGCGCTTCAAATTCTAGGCGTCCCAAATTCTCAGCGCTCCAAATTCTTAACCCCCCAAATTTTTAATCCCCCAAATTCTCAACGCCCCAAATTCTCATCTCCCTAAATTTTCTAAATTCCCCAACCCCTTCCCTCCAACTCCATTTACCAGCAACCCACCATCCAATAAAAACGTTTCATCGCAAGTGTCGACCAAAACAATTGCGTCAAAAAACAAATAAGGCAGCAAATGGTCCTCCCATTATAATTTTCAATTTCCAACCTGTTTGTTATTACGAGAATCGATGACTAACGACTCCCGCGAAGGACCTATCGAGCCAGCTACGAGTCCGCAATTAACATAAATTATTCCGCCCTGCGGACAGGTGCGCCGATTGTTATACGAGTCAAAAAAGAAAATATAAGAAAACGAACTGTCTAACGTGGATCTTGATAGACGAACAATTTAACGACCGCGAAGGACAAACGAAGCGATTACGCAAGAATCGCGGAGGAATTTGAACGGAACATCGTTTCTTGTGCGTCGCGTAGCGACATTCGAAATTAAAATGCAAAACAGGCCGCGATTTAAGGCGACCGCTCGCGTGATTCTCAGTGAATGAATAATCGCGCGAGCATGTTCGATACGATCGTACTTCTTAATATCGTTATGACTACCTTTTGCATCGAAATGGAGGTACGCTTTTAAATGGGGTAGTTGCGTTTAGAAGGAGTGACGCACCGGGTGCGTCATTAGTATTGGTACGTGTTTTATACTTGCTGGAATTATTTATTGTTATGCACTGTAGTAACCTGTATAGGAACATGTAAATTACGTATGGATGTTGTAAAAAACAGGTAGGGGAAATGACGCATATGGTGCGTCACATATGATGACACACATGGTGCGTCATTGGTACGCGTTTTGAACTCGCTGGAACTCATTACATACTATATGTAGTAGCCTTATATATAGAGTCATGTAAATAACTACGTATAGGTGATGTAAAGAACAGGTAAGGGCCATGACGCACATGGTGCGTCATTGGTATTAGTAAGCAGTTTGAACTTGCTGGAACTATTTATTGTCATATACTATAGTAACCTGTATAGGAACATGTAAATTATGTATAGCTGTTGTAAAGAACAGGTAGGGGAAATGACGCATATGGTGCGTCACGTATGATGACACACGTGGTGCGTCGTTGATACGCACTTTGAACTCACTGGAAATCTTTTTTATTGTTATATACTATATGTAGTAGCCTTATATATAGGAACTTGTAAATAACTACGTATAGGTGATGTAAAGAACAGGTAAGAGACATGACGCACATGGTGCGTCATTGGTATTAGTAAGTGGTTTGAACTTGCTGGAACTATTTATTGCCATTTACTATAGTAACCTATATAGGAACATGTAAATTACGTATAAACGATGTAAAGGTAGGGGAAATGTAGATATGGCCACTTAAACGATAACTGTAATAAAAGCACAGGATGGAATCAAATACTCATTGCACGTACAATCGTTTACAAACTCGATTGTACAATAGTAGATAATCTAGGTAATAAAATTGCTTCGGTACTTTCCAGATAAAATTAGCAATGAAATGTTTCCGACTATGTCCTCATTAACAGGTAGTGACGGGTATGTTATATTTGGAGCGTCAAACAACTTTTGCATATAAAACTAATCACTTAACGCGACTTCTGTGTACCAATAGACACTAGTACCTTGAAGATACTACAAACAGTAATTAGAAGCAAATCCTGTGACACGAACGATGAACGGTTTTGAAAGAAAAATATTTGCTTTGTGAAATCTCGAATCATTTCGCAACCGCTTTTATGTGCCTTACAAACAGCCAAGATAAAATAAGGAACTATTCAACGCGGATGAATCGCTCCGTTGATGTCTTTCGCTGAAAGGAGCAAACAAAAAAGAGGCAGGTAGACGGAAAATCATAGGAGGAAAACCGGGAAAGGTTCTAATGAAAACTTGCTTTTTAGAGGCGTCGAGGATGAACGTCCAACGGCATTTTCCAATAGAATTTGCTGGAATTCATTAATTTTTATTGAGATCATCGTAGTGCGAGCGACTCGTTTATTGGTATTACGATGATGGCACGACCACGCGAACAACAGGCACGTACCGTGACATAACACCGACTTGACAATGTTATTTGAGCACGATTAAATTAAAGTGGCGGGAACTTCTTGAATCGGCTGTTCGATGGCTCCTTTGTACACAAAAGGAGAATTATTTTCGTGTCGTTGTCTAAATTCCCACGTTCACCAATTCCACATTCGTCAATTTCCACATTCCCCAATTCCACATTCTCCAATTTCTACATTCCCCAATTCCACATTTTTCAATCCCACATTTTCCAATTCCCACATTCCCCAACTCCACATTCCCCAACTCCCATATTCCCCAATTCCACATTTCCCAACTCCCAGATTCCCCAATTCCACATTCTCCAATTTCTACATTCCCCAATTCCACATTTTTCAATCCCACATTTTCCAATTCCCACATTCCCCAACTCCACATTCCCCAACTCCCATATTCCCCAATTCCACATTTCCCAACTCCCAGATTCCCCAATTCCACATTCTCCAATTTCTACATTCCCCAATTCCACATTTTCCAATTTCCACATTCCCCAATTCCACATTCTCCAATTCCCACATTCCCCAATTCCACATTCTTCAATTCCACATTCCCCAATTCCCATATTCTCCAATTCCACATTCTCCCATTTCTACATTCCCCAATTCCACATTTTTCAATCCCACATTCTGCAATTCCCACATTCCCCAATTCCCATATTCCCCAATTCCACATTCTCCAATTTCTACATTCCCCAATTCCACATTTCCCAACTCCCACATTCTCCAATTTCCACATTCCGCAATCCCACATTCTCCAATTCCCACATTCCCCAATTCTACATTCCCCAATTCCACATTTTCCAATTTCCACATCCCTAAATTTCCCTATCCTCAATTTCCCAACCTTCAAATTCCCAAATTTCCATCTCCCCAAATTCCCAAATCTGAAAACTCCACCCACAAATTATTAAACAACTCGATGCGTAACCCAATTTCCACCTCTCCAAATTCCCAAATCCTACACCCCATATTTCCCACAAATTATTCAACAACTCGATACTTCCTATTAACCCAAATAGGAAGCACATTCCTAATGACTGGTATACTATAATTATCCTTCAAATAAGCAGCCGTCCATAATTGACACAATCAGAAATACGTGACGCGGTGTGTCATTCGACGAACGTATGCCGAAATAATCATTTCGAAGAAACGTGAAACAGAGAAAAACATTGGGTCAGCCGTTTGCTAGCAGACAACTAAAATGGCGAAAGTACGACGAGGGAACGGGTCGGTCTGTGACCTCCTATAAAAGGTAATACTGATTCTCCGGTTGACGAATAGCTTCGTTATCAGATCGTGATTCTTTGGTCAGCATAATAAACGCGCTCGTGTGTGTACGTAGAAATACACGTGTTGCGACCTCAACTGAAATCATATCTGCCGATCGTGTGACCTGCAAGAGGCACTGATGGCGTTTGGTACGTCGATTAAAAACACACTGATCGATCGGGAACAAATAAAGAATCATAACGATCGGGTAACGACTTAAAATTCGAGTTCGATTAATCTAATCTCTTCTTCTCTGTCGATCTATCAAAGGATAGGATCGTTGTTGGAAGTAGATAAGATGTAAGCACGTGCTTTGAAAGCAAATATTTAATTTCTGCGTGACACATCATTTCGTAAAAGTAAACGAAAATTGCTGAACCGGCCGTCCTAAAACTGACGGATCAATGAAAAGTAATAAATCATTTATTATTTTTTAGATATACCTTACGTAGTAGATGTAATAATTTAGAAACTTGGAAATTATTTGCTAGTGTACAAATTATCAGATTTAGAAATATAATATTCATCCTGCTTACCTTGAATTTATCACATTCTAGAAACGCTCTTAATTTCTCGTCGCGTTAGATGGAACAATTCGTATTAAATTACCTTATCACTTCACTAGGATTAATGTTTCCGTTTCAAATAGATTATAAAATGAATCATTAAGGTGTTAGAGCGCCTAGTTACAGTCCCCTCTTGTAGAGTGATCTCGAAGTGACGGTTAAACGTGATCAATTTAATCGTAAAGTTCTTTGGGAACCTGAAGGAAGTCTGAAATAGACTGTACAAGTAGAAATAATTTATTCGATCGATTTCTGAAGACCGGAACGATTCGAGTTCCGAAATTTATCGATGTTGATCATAACTAAGCACGTGCTAACTCGTTCATGGTGGGGACTCGCGATGCACGTGTAAACATTTACCCGCGCATGCGCAAGACTGGTAGGAGTCACGTGACCGGCGCGCACAGTGCCGAATTACGCCTCTTAAAATCCCTGTTCGTTCAAAAAATTTGCTAGCACCTTCTCTTTTAACTACAAATTCTTCTATCAGATTATTCGAACTACTTTCATAAATTTTGTTCTTTAAAAAATGTCCCAATAAAAAGTATATGTATCGAATACCAGTGTCAGTGTAAAATAAGTGTAATGTCAGTGTAAAATGTAAAAATGGTAGCTAAAATAAATTCCATCGGTATTGGCCATTCGGAAACTTTGTAAGTTTAAGATAGCCAATATAATCGCAACTTAACCTCTGTTTGTTTTATTTATTCAATGATATGATAATAAAGTGTGTATACATCTCATTGGAACATCTAGTACTTAGCAGAGATAAGATACACATGCACACAGACACTCATTGTTAGCAGTTTATTGCTACGTAAAAGATGTCAGAATTCAAAAAATTGGTGTGGTGCCCCCACCTTCGGATGCCCCTAAGCACGTGCTTATGTTGCTTATTGGTTAATCCAGCACTGGGCGCGCGTATAAAATCCAGCGATCGGCCGGCTAGCATCGCATTCGTGGACGATCGAGCAAGGGGTGGACAACCTTACGACTTTTAACTTACAAGACGCGAGTTTTCGAATCGTTTTACGACGCGGGTAAAATCGGACAGATGTGTGAGTAGTACATTCGCGAAAGATCGTCCTCCGAGAAACGAGGAAAACGTAATTCGGAAATTGTTCGCAAGATTAACTGTTCGATCGGTAGTGAATTCGATCGAGACGAATCGTGGTTACGAGTCGTTCAAGTGACGTGTTTGATTTAATCAAAACGACCGGTTACGAAGCTCGTTCGGATTCTCTGTTTCCGGGGATCTCGATTTTCGATCGTTTACCGAAAATGGCCGACAAGAGCGAATGGGACTACTCCATCCAAAACGGTGAGTTTTTATTGGTTATGTGTCAACGTTCCATAAACGAGAATTACAGTGACGGTGCATTAGAAGGTTCGTGAATAATTGAACCTTCCAATGTAATATTTAGACTTTCACGAACTGGTAGATTCATTGTCAAAATACCGGAAGTCGGTAAACATCTTACAGAGAAATGTCATTATTTGCAAGATGACTTTTCTGTTTGCAATAACATTGCGATGTTTGCATAAAGGTCAATGTCAGTAAATATGAATGCGTTAATTATTCATAGTTTTTAGCGTTTATAATAAATGATGTTACGTGCACTGCTTCCAGAGTTCGAATATCCATTATTTTGTAACACCGATTTTTTAACTGGAGCGCCATGTTATTACGCGTACAGTTTATTTATAAAATCAGTAATAATTCGGTGATATTTTCCGGCAGTAGGTATACTGTTACTTCATTAGAAATTAAACATTTATATTGATTACAATATGACATTGGTACGCAATATCTGCTATTGAATTTTATCCGGTTGGTTACTAAAAATATTCGCTTTCTCGACGAGTCAGTGTACCATAATTTCTAGGTTTTTCTTCTTTTTAACACTCGAAGAAAAATGATGGCTGTCGCCTGGTAAAAATAGTGCCGTCGAGGAAAACAGATAAGACATTGCGAGAAACCGGTAACGGTATGTGGGTTTTTTTAGCTCTCCTATTTTTTTTTTACAAGGATATCGTATTTTTAATCGTAACGTAATGACGTTAACTGAATTTTTCATCTCTATAATCGCGATGCGTTATCGTTAAAAAGGTGTACATTTTTTGTGTGCGATGAATTAATCATTGGTTTTCTATGATTATGCGACATTCCATCGCTTATCTCTGTTGAAACAAAAGTTCATAACAATGACAGTGTTTGCTAAGTAAAAACATTGGAACGTTTATACGAAATATTCGTGAATCATAACGATTAGATACAGCGATATCTGTTAATGGCATTGTCTAATTTCTCCGAGGCGAAATTAACGATCGCATCGTTAACGAGAACCATTTCAATTCAAATCGAGAGACAAGTCTTTATTTTAAATATCGTCGACATATCAATACCGTCGATTTTCACCCAGACTTTTGATACGATATCAAAGGTAAATATCGCTGTCGTATTTACAAACAGAACCATAATGATTTCATTTAATTTCGAAGAAAATGCACTGAACGTCTCGAGTCTCTAAATAATCTGAATCTTATTTCAGAGAATCATTTATTATAGTTTCGTGTCATACACGCCATCTTTTGAAGTCATCGATATCGATCGATCATTCGATTAATTTCAATTTAATATAATAGACGAAATAATCTTAAAAGAAATATATGATAAAAGACCAAATTTTGTTAATTAAGTGCATAAGATACATAACCTACAAAACGAACCGAATTCCCGAGCGAAGCCGATGATTATCGAACGGCTGGTCTAAATATCCCGGTGACCCCGTTTCCTCGAACTTGAAACGGAAAGGAAAAATAGGAGTCGGTCGAAATCGCGTTCGATTTTTACGGTGTCACGATGGCACCAGGCCATTGACTGACCTAAGGCCATTGTCTTCGAATGCAGGCCGTCCTAGTCGTGCCAAGGGACGGCGTTGCGTTCGCCATGCTAGCACGGGACACCACCGACTCCGTAGGTAAACGAAAATCAATAATTTTCCTCGCTTCAGGCCGATGCACCTGTTTCTTGTAGCGAGTCACATGCGTTCTTTTTCCTACGCCCCGAATTCTAGAATTCTCGAATTCCTACATCCCGAATTCCTATGCCCTGAATTCTTGAATTCTCGAATTCCAAAATTCCGAATTTCTACAACCCGAATTCTAGAATTCCCGAATTCCTACGCCTCGAATTCTAAAATTCCCGAATTCCTACGCCCTGAATTCTTGAATTCTCGAGTTCCAAAGTTCCGAATTCGTACGCCCTGAATTCTTGAATTCTCGAGTTCCAAAATTCCGAATTCCTACGCTCCGAATTCTTGAATTCTCGAATTCCAAAATTCCGAATTCCAACGCCCCGAATTTCTGCGCTCTGAATTCTTGAATTCTCGAATTCCAAAATTCCGAATTCCTACGCTCCGAATTCTTGAATTCTCGAATTCCAAAATTTCGAATTCCTACGCTCCGAATTCTTGAATTCTCGAATTCCAAAATTTCGAATTCCTACGCTCCGAATTCTTGAATTCTCGAATTCCAAAATGCCGAATTTCTACGCTCTGAATTCTTGAATTCTCGAATTCCAAAATTCTTAATTCTTACGCTCCGAATTCTTGAATTCTCGAATTCCAAAATTCCGAATTCCAACGCCCCGAATTCTTGAATTCCCGAATTCCAAAATTCCCAATTCCTACGCGCCGAATTTCTACGCTTTGAATTCTTGAATTCTCGAATTCCTACGCTACGAATTCATGAATTCTTGATTTGCAAAATTCCGAATTCCTACGCCCCGAATTCTTGAATTCTCGATTTCCAAAATTCCGAATTCCTATGCCCCGAATTTCTACGCCTCGAATTCTAGAATTCCCGAATTCCTACGCATGGAATTCTTGAATTCCCGAATTCCTACGCATGGAATTCTTGAATTCCCGAATTCCTACACTCCGAATTCTAGAATTCCCAAATTCCGAATTCTTATCCCCCGAATTGTAGAAATCCCGAATTCTTACACCCCGAATTCTCGAATTCCTAGACCCAGAATTCTAGAATTCCTGTTTCTCGTAGTCACACGCGTTCTTTTTTCCTGTGTTCGTTGTTCCGTAGGTACACAACCTATTGTAGCCCAGAAAATTACCAGCTAGTTACGGAATTTATCGAACACGTTGTTTTCAGTTAATCGAACAGATACTCGAATGACGCTCGATTTCGTGGCTAACTCCGAGTAAGTAGATACGAACGGGATAACCTCAAACCGCACACTGTGTGTAGACCACACCGAAACGTCGTACATTGTACTACCGTAGCCACGTAAATATAATGCGAGAATAGGAAGTAATGTATGTGCGCTGGTAACGAGATCTAAACACGCACGCGTTGTGTACGGTCGTTCGCATTTAAACGTTTTGCAGGCTTTTTCGAAAAGACCGATACATCGATAAAATAGAACAGCAGGCAGATCGAGGTTAAAGGAGTGATCAAATTGTTATACTTCTCGAATCTCAAAATTTCTAAATTTTAAAAAAGAATATTACTTTAAAGGTCTGTAAATTTGAGAAATTCTAGAGTTGAGAGTTCTGTAATTTCTCCCTGTTTGTCGTGTCCATTAAAGCAACCGTGAAATGGGCAGAACTGGACGGATACTTTAGTTAAGTATAATTAAGTGATGGACAGTGTAACTCGATCCAGCACGCTAAATTAGTAGAAATTCCGACGCAGTTTCGACCCGGTAAACAATGGTGTACATTAAAAAATACAATCGCCAGAATCTGGAAGCTGCAAATATTCTAATTTTATATTCCTCATGAATCGCATGACGAGTTTCTTGTCCAAACACTCGAGTTCCGCTTGGTAACGTCTTGCCAAAGAAAACTAGTTCTTTTCCGTGGAAAGAAACCGAACAAGAAAACTAACTTTTCACGGTCGTGTGCAATTAAACATAACGGAATTACTGAACCGTTACGGGATACGCGTAATCAGGGAGATAAAGAAACATGGCCCACCGCCTTTTTGTCTCGATAAAACCGGGGAACTTTTTCTATTTTAAGGTGAGTCTATGGAATATCCGTCTGGTTATGAAATTGCTGAAGGTGATTGTATCACAAACACGTTCTATTACGAAATTTCTTGAAAACGTCACTGGATATGAATAATAGTGAGATGTAAATACTAGTTTGAATTCATGAATATTAACCGTATCGAAACGTAAATAATTGCATGTGACATTGCATAGTTCAACATACGCATTTTAATATTTGACAATATAGGACATGGTAATGCGCCACGATGTAGTAAAATATGTAACACGATGCGTGGCAGTGTAATACAGTGTGTAGAAATACAGCGCGGGATAATACAGTATATGGCGATATAACGCGAGGTAACTCGATGTGATGTATTCCAGCGCGTGGAGATATAACGCGAGGTGACAGGACAAGTTGTATGTCACCACATGGCAATATAACGCGAGGTAAGTCCACGCGTCGAATTCCAGCGTGTGGCGATATAACGCGAGGTAACTCCACGCGTCGAATTCCAGCGCGTGGCGATATAACGCGAGATAACTCCACGCGTTGTATTCCAGCGCGTGGCGATATAACGCGAGGTGACCTCACGCGTCGAATTCCAACGCGTGGCGATATAACGCGAGGTAACTCGGCGAATCGAATTCTAGCGCTTGGCGATATAACGCGAGATAACTCCACGCGTCGAATTCCAACGCGTGGCGATATAACGCGAGGTGACCTCACGCGTCGAATTCCAACGCGTGGCGATATAACGCGAGGTAACTCCACGCGTCGAATTCCAGCGTGTGGCGATATAACGCGAAGTAATTCGGTGCGTTGTATTCCAGCGCGTGGTGATATAACACGGGGTAACTCCACGCGTCGAGTTCCAGCGCTTGGCGATATAACACGAGGTAACTCAACGCGTCGAATTCCAGCGCGTGGCAATATAACGCGAGGTAACTCCACGCGTCGAATTCCAGCGCGTGGCGATATAACGCGAGATAACTCCACGCGTTGTATTCCAGCGCGTGGCGATATAACGCGAGGTGACCTCACTCGTCAAATTCCAGCGCGTGGCGATATAACACGAAGTAACACGGCGCGTCATATTCCAGCGCCTGGATAACGCGATGTGATACTACAATACGGAATAATATAACTCATGTGCGAATATCGCAGAAAAGTGATATATCAATAATAAAGGTGATATGAACGCATGTAAATAGACGTATCTAAAGCAAAAGATAAGTGCGAATATATAGGTAACGAAGTGAAACGTACATGAACGCGAAAGCGTGTAAGGGTCGCAGACCCAGTT